AAAGGTTGTCATGGAATATGGTGGCAATAGGACCAAGCAGAGTTGTACTCCTCTTCAAAAAAATTACGAGTTTGAATGGAATGTATAATTCTATATGGGACGCTGGGCCCGCTTCCCAGCACGTGATGCGCACCACGAGTAGACTGGAGCTTTTGTTATTAAAAAAAAAAAAAAAAAAAGCCCATGACCTTGTCGGTTTTTTTTAGACAAAGGTTTTGATATTTAACTTTAAGTCAGCGCAGTCGTGGACTGCCCTGTGTTGTTGTTCCTAAACCTTCAAGCTTCGCCTTGATGTTTGTTTGTTTTTCCACTTTGTGTAATGCTTAAGAAAAGGAATATAGAGGGTAGGTCCATCCATACCCGCATAAGTTTTTATAGGCAAAAGGCCTATGTGGTGCTTATTGTTCCGACGGTCATCGAACCGGTGGGACTGTCTCCTCGACACACACAGCGTCTGGCCAGCGTCACGTTATCAGGTTTTCTACCATGTTCCACACAACATCTTTCTTGGCTCGGGATGCCGTTCCCAGACTGTTTACGTTTATGAATTGAATGTCAACGTCAGCCTTGCTAGGTAAAGCATCTCACGAGTCGATCACAAGAATTGAACGCGCGACCTCCCTCTTGGGAGGCAAACACTCAACCAAACGGCTAAGTGGACTGGGGTGAAAGTTGAGCCCCAAGATGAGCACTTGCTCAGTCTTTCCTCCCAAGGGGACGGCCGTCGGATAGGGAGGGGGACGTAAGGGTGATGGGGTGTCAGGATCAAGAAGGGTGTTCGTGGGCAGGGGAGGAGAATGGTGGTAGCAGCAATGTAAGGCTGCCTGAGGGGCCCTAGACGTGCCACTGTTGGGAGAATTGGTTTTGGCTAGGAGAGCCGGCATTATTTTGGGACTGATACATTGGAATGTTAAACCACCAGTACTTGGCCCGGCTATCGGCCGCGGCGCTTCCCCGTTAACGCGCCGCGCCTTTAGGGCTTCGGGGTACCGGACCACAATGGCTGGAAGCGCCAGCCAAAAAAAAAATTGAAGCGGTACCCCGGTGCTTCGGCAAAAATTGGCGCGCAGGGGCATTCCAGGCTCGGCATCGATAGCTGGGCCAAGTACTGGTGGTTTAAGATGTTGTGGTTGACTCTAGTGTGTGAGGGTCGGGTCCAGCGGGAGCACGGATGGGACACCGTCCCGTTGATTGTGGGCTCTCCGCACGTCCTCTTCCAGTAGTGTATGCAGGAAATTGAGAACCTGGGATGCTGTTCCTACCGCGTTTGCCTTGACCCGAGCTGTGGCTGTGTCCAAGAGCTGGTCGTGGTAGAGCTACTTTATCGATGAGTTGCTCTGCGGCCTGTCAAGGCGATGTTGAGTATAGCCTTATTATCAGACACTTCCTTAGATCCCTTCCCCAATTGATTGAAGAGTAGAATGATGGGGGTTACCATTGCAGGTAAAAAAAATATCATTTGGAAAAACTAGACCGATGACCCCCAGGCCTTATCCTGCTCTTCTTTGACTAAGGATTTAACTTTGCTCATTGCTATGGGCTGGGACTGGGACCCGCGCCAGCCCTCGAACGTTAGCCCCTGTAGTGTCGAGCATCCTTTATATGAGTCGGCAAGGAAATCTCCGTATTTCCCCGTCTGGTTCACCGGGATAATCACCACCCCCGCAGGTGGGGGTCTATTTTTAGCATCATGCCCCCTCCAACTGTGAGCAGATTCCCCAAGTTTCACCTTGTTACCCATTTCAAGATTGCAAGTAGAGATTCCTCGGGGGAGGGCTGAGCATCGTCGCTGTCTGGCTCCTCATTGAGGTCTATCACTTGTGCCTGCTGGAATATGGGTTGTGACTGTGTGGGAGCAGCAATGAGCTGGTTCTGTCCCCCTGGGGCATGGCCAGATTGTGCACAGGTGGGAGAGCAGGTGGGCAGTATTTTGGGCCTTTCAGGACTCTCCATCCCACCCCGTGGCTCGTGGACAGCATTGGGGGCAAGGTGCAGACGGAAGGCGGGTGCCCTGTCGGGTACGTGGTGGTTAGCGGGAAGTCGGCAAACACCTCGGCCGGGCTCGTGTCTGCCTCTGAATCAGAGTCATCCACTTCTATTATCTCCGGCAGACCTGCGATGAGGTTGGCCGGATGGGTGGCCGTTTGCGTGGATTGTTGCAGCGCCAGCGGCCGGGCTTCCTTACCCTCGGGCCAGAGCTATGTCCGTGGGTTCCGCTAACCGAGCCCACCCGCTGTTGGATGCCCTCCACCAGCACTGCTGGCCATGCGACCCCCCCGAAGCAGAAGTCTTGTTCCATCATTTGGCTTAGAAAGTGGTCTTGTACAGTCTTGTGCTGCTGCGGAGTCTCCGCTTGCCTGGCCCGGACTCTGTATTTATATACTCCTGACCTGAAGGCGTGTATGGTGAGGATCAAGTCTCCGCCCACTGTCACCCACTGGCAGTCCACTGATTCCGCATTGGGGAAACTTTCCACTGTTGAGAGCACTCAGGGGCTGAACATGAGTGCTCTCCTTATTCTTTCCCAGTGCAAGGGTGAAAGGGCAGCAGCCCAGGGCTCAACTATGGAAGAGCATGCGTATTAGCACCTTATCAGTGAGGAAGTTCAATCTCTGGCACAACAGTTTGTCTGTTGAGACCGGTCTCGGCGACTGGTGCGAGCGCGTATGCTGGGTGGTGCTTTCAAGTTCCTGGAAGGCAGGCTGAGGGGAATGTGCTGTGCAGCGTTGAGGCCTTATCCGCAGTGAAGGATCAGCAAGTACTGTGTCACTGTTTCTGTTAAGTGGAGCTGCCTGGCATAGCAAAGGAGTGGCTTATCACACTGAGCCGTTCTTTGGCTAATGTACCATAGCACGCTGACCGGGGTGTTCGATCTCTTTGGGGGACAGCCTTATGTGTATTTGCTCGTGCTGCGTTACGGTGTTTGGAGTTATTAGGACGTTCATATATTAAGGAAAAAAAAAAAGGTCGTTCGTAGTATGCACCCACGCGGACACCGTGGTGTGGTGTGGTGTGGTGTGATGCGTGGGTACATTGTGGTCAGGTATCCCATATTAGGATTACCCGCTATTATCGGACAGGTTTTGTACGTACTTAGTCTGAGTGGCTGTCTAGATGAGGTTGTGATTATATTTCCAGCGTGTGATAATACTATGCGTGTTAGCATGGCTGTGTAGGAAGATCGAGGTTTGAAGATTGGTTCCTGAGTATCCCACGGTCATGGTGTGGTGTGGTGTGGTGTGAGTGGACGGTCATGGTGAGGTGTGGTGTGGTGTGAGTGGGTACGCAGTGAGTAAGTACGACTATTCCAGAGTTGTTGTCACTCGATACCACAATTATCGTTCCCAGTTCGGGCTGTTGGAACGAGAGGCTAGAACCGCGACTAAGGCCAGGGTACCAGGAAGTATCGCACGGTCGTAGTGTGGTGTGGTGTCGTGTGGTGTAATGTGTTTTGAGTGGGTACGCAGTGAGTCAGTATGACTATTCCAGAGTTAATCTCACGCAATACCACGACTAGTGTTCCCAGTTCAGGCTGTTGGAAAGAGAGGCTAGAACCGCTACGAAGGCCAGGGTACCAGGGACGTGGTCATAGGGACCAAAGTTAGACCAGGGGACATCTCGGGAATTGGGTCTAACAGATCCCTTCCAGACCAGAGCGTTTTCCGTATCGCCAGGTGAAACTTTGTCGGTATCGTCAGGAACGACGCGAATTTGTTAGGAGAATAGTACGGGTTCCTACTGTATCAGTGACGAGTGTCAGTTTTGTCGGTCCTTTTCGGTTCCTACGTTGATCGGACTTCGTCATTGCCAGAGATGTGTGGTAGTACGGACTCCTACTGTATCGATGACGTGTCATTTTTGTCGGTCCTTTTGGGTTCCCATGTTGACCAAACTCGGTCCTTGCCGGAGATGTACAGAGGAAGGGTGATAACGGAAAGAAGCGGCTGATGGTATAGTCAAGGGAGAAGTTGGTGGGTAAAGCCCCCCTGAGGACGACCGAGAGGCGGCCGTCGAAACCAGTCGGGGTTGCCATACCCCCCGATCCCACCGGAAAGCTTGCAGTTGTTGTTGATATCATGTTTCAATTTCAGAGTGCGCACAACGCACACTTGTGTTTGACGTGCAGTCTGATTGCCTTGCGTATCTTCTTCTTCTTCTTCTTCTT